GCCATGCGATTATGAAACAGACTAGGGACATCCGAAATTCAGCGCGGAAACTTGCGTTGCATGTGCTTAATTTATTCCCCCCTTTGCTCCCCGTAGTCGGCCGGTATATAAGTTACTAGTATATAGTCGTACTGAATTCGTTTCGCGGCTATGAAATCCTGCTTTTGTGCCAACACGACCGGTCTCCTTCGAAATCCACTTAACTTTTTTTCTTGTCGGACGTAAAGCGTTCTCGAAGAATGAGGCTGGAGTGGATTTCCTATTATGCGGCACCGAATACTTGTGTTAAAATAGATCTCGGCCAACAACTTCTAAATTCTCCTTTCATCGACAATATAGTAAACTTATTTATGTAATGGCTTTGTATATACATGCGCGGCATTTTACGAATACTAATGTAATGCAAACGATATTCATAGGCCAACATTAGATCGATAAAGGACAATGAAACCTGATTTGAACCGATTCAGAACCGAAGAATCCCATTTGGGCAGACCCAGTCGACGTGATTTGAACACCAGGATCGGGGGTTGCCACTGGCGGAGGAACAAAGCGTTATCGTCTTTGGTGTTTTCAAAGTTTCACCATTTCAAGAATACCGATCGTATGTCCGATTTATTAGAGTTCATATCCTGCGTGGACGACCGCTACAGTTCAACCCGCATTATAGAACATGTTAAGACGTAATGGGCCAAATTTTCAAACTTGATCGGTCTACTACAATCTTAGTAACTCACGTCTCTTCTAATGTTTTATAACAAAAATATTCAGTCATCGAAATCGTTTGAATTCAAATTTCCTGCCACCTTTGATGTGTTGGAACGGTGAATCCTTTGTAATTTGTCGCGTTCATCCATGGGGAAACAGGGAATCTTTTGTCTTTCCGCAGCAAAGTCGGATCAAGCTGTTCATGTCTCTGTTATTCTAGAGTGGCGAAATATGAGAATTTACTGCAAGAATCCGTTTGCATTTACGCTAATTGCCCAGTACGTATCTTTCAATGTAATCTATCAGTTAATGCTTAATATTGCATTAAAACACGAGAATGTTACTTCTGAAATCTAGTGAAATATTTTTCGTATTATTGTTCGAAGAGATCACTTTAAATTTAGTTTGACTATTGACTCTTTTATGATATACTGCTTTTCATATACTAGCTTGACTACTAACCCTTTTTTGATATACTTATGTATATGTATGAGTTAACATTAGTGAGAAGATTTAATTATAATTCTCTATTTGATCATGTGTGAAAGAACTAAAAATTTAAGACCTACCTAAAAGTGTTACATGGGAATAATCACAAACAGCTGTTGTCGAAACGAACTGTCCCAAGGTATGAAACGTTGTGTCGCGCGAGAATTTGTGGCGCCTTTTTAAGATTCAACGAGCGAAATTCCATAGGAACGGTTCGCTGAAAAAAGGTGGAGAAGGGGAGGGGCACTTTCTGACCTGAAAATGTCTGCCGTGTTATTACCAGGCACTTTCACGGAAGTGATTTCGACGAAGGAGTTTGGCCGGTCGAACGATGAAATTTATATAAGTTGAGAAGTCGAGCGTAATGTGGCAAACCGACGGCGCGAGACTGGCATAAATGTGTCAAGTCATGATTTATGGTGTTTAACTTCCGCTTTTAACTTCGACGATCCCTGTCTTCCGATGGAACTACGTAAGAAACTGCGATCACCACCGAGAACCATCACCTCCAATATATTTCCTGACACAAACTCGATACCGTAATTTGAATCGCCGTTATCGCGATTTTAAAGTTCGTTACCTGTTCTTCATATATATTCGGCGTTAATAATAAACTTTGGAAATTCGTGTTGGTAGGACGACACCCAGAACAATGTATACTATTTCGCGATGTGTGTAATCTAACTTTTGCTATAAAATAATAATAATATTCTTGATTCGAGGCATATTTATTTTCATACGTGTTTCGTCTGCCTGTATACTGCATTCTTTCTTAAATTCTACAACTAGATATAATGTCCTTTTTCTACACTTCGCACCTATAGGGGACACCCTCTATAACAAACCAAATATTGTTTAATAAATCATAGTCTCTATTCTATAATACTTATCTGATCACGAATGATACTAAACTACTCGTCTGTTCAGAGACGATCCTATTTTCCTGGTCTGACAAACCACGGTCTCGTATCACTTGGTCCGACCAAGATCTGTCTTCTATTACTTATCCAACCAAGACCTATCCCCTATCGTCTCTCTGACCAGTGTCTATTCTATCACTTTGACTAATAGTGCCGACTGTCTTTATTATTGAAAATGTTTTCGATTCCACTGGGTTGACTAGTGACGCCCTCATTCCCCTCAATTTAATCACTCGTAGCCTTGTTTTCGTTGTATAGTAGTTTTCGCACATTTGTTTACTTCTTATGTATCGTTTAATAATTTTAAAAATTCTCGTGAATTTTACATCCCGATTAACGCACCGCAACATAAACAATGGACAGTCAATCCTCTTGGCAAACTTGGCTATTAGGGAGCCGTCACATATGAAATTAATAAACTGTCCTGCATCAGGTGCACGAGTGTCGTGTCCCATGCCACCACAAAACCGTGGTCCGGTATACATACGCGCGCGCGCAATCCAGTCGATTTATTTATTCTGAGAACACGGCCAGTTCACGGGGTACAGCCGAAGTCACCCCTGGCAAATTGTCGGGCTGCCCGTAAATTGCCAATCGTTGCGATTAGAATGGAGATGAACTACTGGCCGCGACAGCGTCGATTCCCACCGTTCGCGGAATAACCGCAGATGGTGGGAATCCGCGGCCGAGATTAATTTGGGATTCCCGTCGATACGAAATTGAAAACAGGAGTCATTAAATTTTGTCGGTTTGTACGTGACGATCGGCGCGAGGAAACATTTGCCCGAAATGAAAGTCTGCTGCTTTCGATATTTCGAAGTTTCAGGAAATGCCATATTCATGACGAAATACTGATGCTTTTTCTATACGACTGTTCATTGAATAACAAGACTGATTAGACGCTGATCTTATTTTAAATATTCACTGACATTTTCGTTGTACAATTGGTGATTAATTATTAGAGTCACTTGCATAAATTGATGATTTTATAACGTTAACTGTATTGTTTGCAGACTTGGGTAAAATGTAATCTAATTAGAAAATCGAAATTGTAATTACAATGCAATTTCGGGACAATTACAATTATAATTATAATTACATTGTAATTTTTATTGTAAATTTCGTATAATTAATTGCAATGAAATTGTAATTCTGATTTGGATTCTGTAATTAGATTACATTTCTCACTATCTGATCTTTTATAATTATATAAACCAGGGAATTGTAATGCAGCCATTTATTGAGGAGTGCATGAAAGTTAAGTTACGAATACATTCCTTATCCCCCAACATTATTTTTAGCAGTGATTATAGAAATTCTGGATTAACTCTGAAGTTTTGCTATAAAAGATGAAATTCCTCTAATAAATTTAAGTCTACAATGTTATCCACGATGTTTTACCCATATTTGAAGCAAAATGGTTAACACCGTCGACTGTCACCGTAATAACTGGTGACCGTCATCAATTTCCAAATGATTCAATTTCCAAACGGCACCATTTAACATCTCGCAAATATAATTAGTAGACCAGTAATACTCAAAATATGAAGTGTTCCAGTCAACGCGTTAATATTTATATTCTCAATGGAAAAAATGTCAAAAGGTGCCTTTTATCGCGATCAAATCTGAATAGTAAAAACTTGGGCGATGAACGCGTTAATGAAGAGTTCGCGAACGCCGAATGACCAAGAAGGATGACGGAAGGCTTGACACGATCTTACCGTCGAAAAATAATCGTGGCCTGGATACAGTCGAGGTAGAGGAAGCCGTTTCGTTTCGCGAAGGTAAATTAATTTGCATTTAAATGAAGGCACACAAAAACGCCGGATAACGCCTCGTGAATGGTGGACAAAGGGAAAAAGAGCCAATTAATTACGCCGGCCTCCTCTAGCAGAGAAGTAAATTCCAGTGAATGCCTCTTAGCAAAGTTATTCCCTTCTTTGCTTAATTCCTTTCGCGTGGATACATTTACTCAGTTATTTCAGAAGTGACGTACGGGTTTGGATGTGGAATGATTTTCAGAGAGCTTAGGAAAAAAAATGGTTAATCTGAACGATACTGGAGGTATTTAAATAAGCAAACTTTGATATACTGAACACTTCCATGGTTCGTTTGGCTGACTGAAACAACGGCGGTTCCACAAGTAATAACAACGAAACAGCTGAAACCGTGGTCCTATTTCGTAACGGAGTTAGAAGTCTATCTCTTTTCTGGGTTCGTTCGCGGGCCACTTATAAAAGCTGCTAACTGCGCGGTCCGCCTGAATCCGTGAAACGCAGTTAAATCGACTTTGTAAATCTGCCGTTCATCCGATTCGTAACTTTCCATTAAAGTTCGAGAATTTGTAAGGTAACCCCGGACAACACGATGAAATCGGTTTAACATGCTAAACTTTCTTATTGAATTCGACGAGTGAACACCTTACTTCAATTACTTGATAAGAACTATTCTGAAGTTACACTTTTCTCGACAGAGAATAACCATTTCGCACTTGTCTGATCCAAGGCGGTGTCTATATTGTACGAACCGATAAAGTTTATAAAATGATAAAGCAAGAACGTTTAAATAGTACTATAAATTATTCAAATCAGTTGAGTCCATCAAAAACCGCGTGCGTAGCAAGTGTTCTCGATATTAATTAAATGAGATCCTGTTAATTAAGGGAGAATCGGCCATCCTCGTTTAACACGTTAGCTATAGAATTAACAGTATTTCCTTTTCCTATTTAATATATACGCGAACAGTAGCGTTCAGCTGATAGAAAATAAAAGAATTCGAATGAATTTATTCTGCTCGATGGTGAAGCTTTCTTTTTCCTATCGGATCGATGAAAGAGGGGCCGGCGATCGAACAGGGAGGATCGATAGAATAGTGTATACTTACTGCATGTGGAGGATAGGGACCGATTTGTCAGAAAACAGAACGACCGGCTGACCGAACCGTTCGTTGCGACCACAAACTCGAGCGCCGCCTTCCAACTGAAGCCATCCACCCTCGCACCTGAAACAAAAAGAGGACATCCATCAGTTGCCACTCATCATTTCTGTCCGCGCAAAAGCGACGCCGTTCGATACATTTGCTAATTAGTTTTGGCAAATTCCCCATCATCCTAGTTTCCGTCATTGGGCGAAATTTTGTTTTGTATGATGACAGTATTATGAATATTAACCCTCTTACGGTAAAGTCCGGGTCGAATCCCACCCAAGTTATGATTCTTCTTGTGCTGTCCCATTCTATGTTTTATTATTTTTTGTATTATTGTCGTTTTAAAACATGTTTTATTATTTAATAAACTTACTATACATATATTATTATACATTACGTAACTCAATTGTTATTCCTTATTATATAAATAAACAAAAATACAATTTAAAAAAATACAAAATTAAAGAAAAAAGAAACATGTACATTTAAAGAACAATTAAGTTTTTCTGATTCGGTACCATAGTTATTACAATTAGCTTGTATTAATTCTGTATTCGTTGAAATCATAAAAATTACATACAAGATATCTTCATAAAACATGAGTATTATCGAAAACTGCAAAATACGTGTCATCTTATTTTTGGTCTAGATTCATTAGAAAAAGATTCAGATAAACAGTTAAATTTGCAATTTCTCCAAAATAAAGTCACGGAGTTTCAGCTAAATTTACCTACACATGAAAAAATGGCATTATTTCTTAAGGGAAAAATGTGTGAAATTGACAGGAGGAACGGATGAGGGTTAAGGACCAACGTAGGACCGTGCCAGTGTTAGACACATTTCGAACTGAACGTCATTAACAGGTACCTTCCCGCAACACAGACTCAGGAGACTCCTCGACGAATCGCACAATCAGCATAGGACACTTCGCACGACGTGGATGGGGGCGAGCTGTACCCAGTCTTACCGCTGGAATTGCTTCTTCGATGGGTGATCAACTTCAAAGGATTTGTTTTCGACGCGAATACTGTATTCGCAAATGGCGGACGGTTTCGAGCGGTTACACAACCAGCAATACGCGTTGGGGAAATCATGCTGACTCAATCGAACTCGCCGTCTCGACCCCGTCCGTCGTAAGAGAGAAACGTCGAACCGTTCCATAACACGCATCGCTGATTACTGGCGCGCCAAAATTTCACGAGACACCCCTTTCTCCCCCCATGAATTTACCGGTCTGGAATGCGTGAGCTTTTTAACAATTACGTTATCCGTATAATCTGTGATCACGATCAGACGAACGCATGCTTCCATCCAATCTCGAAATTGTAATAAGAAGGGCAGAAGAGATAAAGTTTTCAACACACTTTTTGCACAAAGATTAATATATATTTCTTTGACAGATTCGTTCATCGAAGAGTTTATATATGATATCACAATTGAAGGTTCGAGAATTCCAATTTCCAACAATTTCGTTGTATAATTTTCTGTTTTTTGTTATTTCATTTTAACAATTTTTTTATGCCTACCCACCAGTGTAACGAGGACTGCGTTTCAAACTACAAACGAGAAATTATGTGTTTGTAATGTTTGTTAGAAAAGGTTAATTAATGCTTCTTCAATCAATAAACTGTCAATTCGATCAAATCTACAGTATTTCTTTCGTTTCTTTTCCAGATATGTCAGTTCCCTTTCGTTTTATCCAATATTTTCATACCATTTCATATACGAGTCAGAATTAAAACAGTTTCAGTTAGTATTTCCGCGTACGGTTCGCCACAAATACGATTCAAAATTACGTCGAGAAATGGGACGTTCGAAAGAACAATAACAAAGAAACACTGGAATATTAATCGAAATGGAGCAGAAATTCGTTTCGACGTGCAGCGAGGAACTTTTCATCGCGTTTAATGTAATCTCGCAAATATGAGGAGAGCCGAGTTCTTTCTCCGCGGAATAAGGGGAGCATCGTGACCCGCTTCGAGGTTCCTTAAGAGTCTGTGAATGTTACTAAAGGAAATTCTGAAAAGAAATTCCAGCCATTCAATCCGTATCGATCCAACTCGTTGTTAATTAACCGATGCGCCCTTGTTTGCACTCACAGTCGTCTACGTCTAGATTGATCGCGACGACGCACGCGAACGCGAGATAATTCGAAAAAAACGCGATTCAATGATTGCCCTTCTTCTTGCATTCATTGTGAAGGAAACGTGAATGCCAGTTGCATCTGGCAGCAGCACCGATGCTCCACAGAATCAAAATAATCATACAGATTAATTCTTTTGAGGTCTCGGCACCTTACGTAGCAGGTACATTAAAATGAACAGCAAAGCTGAAATGTAAGTCAATTCGGTCTACATTTGCATGATTGCTCCGGACAGACAGGTTCTATACAGTTTACGCGGTTACAGAAGTTACGTTTCAGCGTCCTTATTTGTAAAGAATGGATAGATAATTCGTAAAATAGATACTGAAAAAGAGTTAATCGAAATAGTTCACGTATTTGTTTGCTATATTTTACCTTATAAGATCCTGTAAACGGTTTAAACTTTTCAAGAATTTAACCCAACAATTATTTTTCATAGTTGAACATTATCATTCAATTTTGAAGGGGAAGTATATTAAATTATGAAACAACCTATATAACGCAACAATTATTTTTATATTTGTACAGTGTGACCCGATTTTCGAGGGGAAGTCGAAATATGAAACCCTAAGGAGACCCTAAGTCCATTTTAAGAAAAAATTAATTACTACATGAAATAACTCGTATTTAAATCGAATTACTCTATCAAGTAATTCATTTCTTCCTTCAAAATCAAAGAGTTCCCCGAATCTCATTTACCGCGAGATTAGATTTAATTGTTACACCCAAGTCGATCCGAGCACGACTTGCGAGAGCATCGATAACATTAATTAACATATCACCGAGGCAATCCCGGAGACACTGTTCCCTGGTGGTGATGCTTTTAACCGGTCTGGGACCGTTTCTCGTCTATCCGAGCTGGCTCATTCGGATATCTCGATACAACACGGGACCTACGCCACGAACGTTAGCCTGCCCGCATCGCGTTACATTGACGTATCATGGGTCGAGGATACGTTGCTTCCCATTCCCTTCTCATAGTTCAGCGTTGTATCAGACACGCATGGTCTTGAATTAATTGCTATGAGGCATAGAGGCGGCCCCTGGATCCGATCCTCGTCCTCGAGTCGACGTCGTATCGGTGACCGTTCGAAATGCCCGATGGCAGACGTAGTTCCCGGCCTGTAATCCGGCCAGATAAAACTTTTCTGATGGGAGTTACGGCGCGCACAGCAGCCGGATAACCCGGATACGCGGCTTTTATTGGTCGTCGTGGAAAAAATTACTTTTTAGTTTCGTCCAACCGTGCTGATTCGCCTGGGAAGCGGCACTTTCTCGAGAGGCTCGACAATCGGAGGTTGGTCATGGGAGAAATGCAACTGGATCGCTTACGAGTACTGAACAGATTACGAACAACACAAAATAAACTTGCATTTCGTTGAATTTGAATATATAGTAGGATCTCCGTATCCATGGGGATTGGTTCCAGGGCCTTCCGCGGATAGTAATAAACCCAATTATATATACATATGTACAGGATGAGTTACCTAAGATTTTCACACACGGTAACTGTGAAAGGGAGAATGGTGTCCTGAAGTTCCCCTCCCTGTAAAGTCGTAAATCAATATAGATCAGCGAGCATCCTTTTAGCTGTCCAAGAACCCCAGGTTATGGTAATCGTCGACCCCTAAAAGGGTAATATGTATTTTCCTATTTTCCTGTATATCTTCAAACCTATGGTATATATCAAAAAATTGTTACAATGAAAATTTAATGGCCTTCTCTGCTCTATAGAACAGTGAAAACAAATTACTGAAAACTTTTTGAAATAAATAAATAAACAGAATTATTAACAATTTCATTACACAATGATATAGAGCATAAGCAGCCATTAAATTTTTAGAATAACTCGTCGCGTTAGACATAATTCAGTCGTACTTCGTCCGTACTTTCAATGATTAATTATCTTCGTTTGACATGTAGAATTCACCCTGTGAAAGTGTTCCACGTTTTTATCAACACCTTGTACATTCCGTACAGTTGTTTGTTGAACATAAAACTCGGTGCAAACATTTAACATTATCAGGTCAAATTCAGTTTGAAAATAAATATTTTCTGCTTATATTAACGGACTGGATTGTTTTTTGACAATTTACCACACAAATTCCACATTGTCGGATATAAAAATACCGATTTAATAATTCATCGGTAGACGTTTACACAGATTATGAATAATACATATGTCGTGGAAATTCAAATTTTATATCGCGAGCTGAATAGGTTGTCGTGCTGCGACATTAGTGATTCGCAAATATCCACCGTAAGCTCAACGTTCCACTTCCATTTGCTCGATAAAAGTGTATACACAAAATGATTAATCCCCGTACGTCACGCGACCTTTTTACGTGTTGCCTACGACGTGTCCTCGTAAAAGAGGTACAGAAAGTATAATAAAAACTGAACAATAAAAATGACACAGAGCCTCGTTGTTTGTTCGCTTTACACGTTGTATTTATATTTTATTCACGATCTATTTTGGATGATTCTGTCGGCTTTGTTATTGGTTCGCCATGACTGTAAATATACGTCACGTCATCTGTCACGGAAAAATACACAAGCAGGATTTAGAGATTAAGATCTGAGCATAAAGAAATAAGTAATATACAAACGCATCTGACCAGATTAGTAGATTAGAACACATTATGATCAGGCAAGTATAATCACATCCTTCACCATGCATAATTTGTCGTTACAAGGCTCGCAATAAATCTTCCATATTTATTCTTTAACCTCTTGAGGGATACTGGCACGTACGTATACGCTTAGTTTTTTTTTCATGTTAGCATCATTCCGACATTGCAATGAAACATTCACTAAGAATTCCCCAAAAGAAAAGGATATTCTACCAATTGATTGTCGTTAATAATTACACATCTATGTTAATTAAATACAGCCGAAGAATAAGAACAAATATTTCTTCTGGCCATGATAA